CCCGCAGCAGCAGCCGCAGCGCGCGCCGGCCCAGCAGCAGCAGCGGGCCAAGCAGCCCCCGGCGGCTCCGGCGGCGAACGGCGCGGCGGCCGCGGCGGGCGCCGCCGCGGCGCAGCCGCCCGCCGCGGCGCCGCCCGCCGCGCCGGCGCAGCCCGCCGCCGCCGCGCCGGCGCAACCCGCCGCGCCGGCGCCGCCCGCCGCGCAGCCGGCCGACGCCGCGCCGGTGGCGCCGCCCGCGCAGACCGCGTCGTAGGGGCCGCGGGAAGATGCCGCTCTAAGGACTGTATGACGCGTGTGGTCGCTGCTTGTCGGAGCTTGTCGGGTGGTCGCGGTCGCACCGCAACTTCAAGGGCGGTTTCGCGACTAGTCCGGACGAGGCTTCTCGCCGCGTTGCGCGGTGTGGTGGCATCGACCTCACGCGTACTAGGAGGGAGCGCCGTGCGTCTCATTTTTTATTTTATTTGCGTTCGCACGCGTTGAAGGTGCCGACCGACGCAAGGTGAGAGCCGTCAAGTTGGTCAACATCTACTTTACTAATTTCCCCCCCCCTAAACGGGTTCCTGGCCAGGAGTGGATGGGGGGTAGTCATCCTGCACGGGTAGGAAAAGGTCTGTTGATTCCTTCCGGCAGGTGTATTCGCTTCGACCTGGGAGGGGTGCGCGGTGAGAGTCGACTGGGGAAGTGGACGCGGCGTGAGCGCTGCACGCTCGTGACGTAATGAGATCCATGACCTACCGTGACGGTGCTGTCAGAGACGTAAAATCCGCTTCTGTCGGCACGGCGCTGCTCGGCGCCCGCTGGTTTCATAGTTTCGGTCGGATGCACCATGTAATTTTCGACCCGGCGGCCCATGCCAGGGTCTGGTGCTTCGTGCAGCTCACATGAGCGCGGAACGCGACGCCGGGAGGAGAAGTGGCATCAACCACTGACGTGGTGTCGCATCCTCTTCCCTTAGTCGAGTGCTCCGCGCGTTTTTGTAAGAGTTTTTGTGCTTCGCGCGCGGACGCGCGAATTGGTGTTGCAGAAAAAAAAAAGGGGGGGTGGCGTTCGGGTGTAGGTGACCCACGCTGTGAGAGGGTGAAGGGGGAGGAAGGGTTGGCAGTCGGGCGAGCGTGCGGGTGGGGAGGGAGTGCCACTCGCCCCTGTAGGGGCTGCCCTTCACACGCCCGGTGCCGTCGGAGGCGGGGACCGGGCGGTGGTTGCGCCGCGGGATGCGCGGCGCGGGTGCGGCGGGGTCGTCATGGGGGTCCCGGTGTCGGACGGCGCCGCGTCCGACACCCCCAGGACCCCCTCCCGCCCCGCCAGGCGCGTCCAATGGATGCGCGCCGAGGGCGCGTTGAACGTGAAGGTTGTACTTGTGCGTCGCCTTCAACGTCGCCGCCTTATTCTCGCTGTCTCATCGGCTGAGTCGATTGCTGTTCTTCGAGCAGGAGCGGCCCGGCTCGGTCTAGTGCGCACATTGTCAGCATTTGCGGCGGCGATCAAGGCGTTCGAGTCACTGCGGCAAGGCCCGAGTGGACCCGCCGCCTGCACCCACCATGCCCGCCGACGCGGGGCCGGCCGGCGGCGCAACAACAGTGCCACGAGACCCGACGCAGAGCCACGGCACTAATGCATTGTTGTCGGCACTGGCGCTCGTCTCGGACGAGAGATACAGCGGTCAAGTGAAGGCGCCGGTCGTCAGCCGGGAAAACTCGTCCCACGCGCTGCGCCGCATCAGTTCCCACGAGCAGCTCGCCCAGACCGCGCGCCACCGCGTCCCGTTTTCCGCGCTAAGTCTTCGGGGCTTCTCGCCGCGCGCGGCACCTTGCGCCGCATCGAAGCCCAAAAAAACGTGCGCATCACCCGTAGGCCGCCGCCGTCGCCGCGCTCGCGTCCCCGCACGGCCGCACGCGCGAGCTGACGCCCGAGCCCGAGGAGCCGACGGCGAAGCGGCGGTCGGAGCCTTCCGCGAAGCGCGAGCGGCCGCCCCACGTGTCGAGCTCCGACGAGGACTCCAACGGCGGCGCCGGCGCGGCCGAGGACCTCGACCCGACGACGCTCGAGCAGCAGCGCAAGGACGTGCGCCGCGAGCGCAACCGGCAGCACGCGCGCGTCTCGCGAGAGCGCAAGCGCCAGAAGCTCGAGCACCTCCAGGAGGAGAACGACGCGCTCCGCCGCCAGGAGGCCGCCCTGATGGACCAGCGCGACCGCATCAACGCGCGCCTCCTGCGCGTCGAGTACGAGAACCGCGCGCTCCGCGCCTGGATCCAGAACCACGCGGGCGACGGCGCGCCGCCGCCGCCGCCGGCCGCCGACGACGACGAGGCGAGCCGGCCCGTGCCCGACCACTGATGTCCCGCGCCCCGGCGACGCGCAGAAGCACCGCGCGCTCCCTCGCCGGCGGATCCTCGCACGCTCCCCTTCGCCCGGCGCCCGCCGCGCGCCCCCGCCCCCAACTTCCACGCTTAATCCACTCGACGTCCTTCCGGGGGACGCAGCGACTGCGAGCCCGAAATTGCACCTGGGCCTAGTCGTGCGTCTCCCGGGGAGCGAAACGAGTTAGGCGCCGGCGCCTACTGCGGCCGCGCGTCGCCGTCGCCCGCGCCGTCCTCGAGCGCGGGCGCGGGCGGCGCCGCCGCGGCGGCCTTGGCGGCGCGCACCTTCTCCGCGGCGGCCTCGAGCTCGCCCCGCCGGAGCGTGTGGCGCAGCGTCGGCTCGCCCGAAAACTCGGACGGCTGGAAATGGGAGATCGGCCGCGGCGCCGCGTTCGCGTTCTTTATCCGCTTCTTGCCCTTGGAGATGCGCGACTTCGGCACGGCGAACCAGAGCGCGGCGTCGTCGCCGTCGTCGGCGGCGTCGGCGGCGGCGTCGGGCGCCGGGCCGAGCAGCGCCAGGGCCGGCCGCTGCGGCGCGAAGACCTCGAGCAGCCGCAGCGACGCCTCGGCGCGCAGGAGGCCCGCGGCCGGGCCGACGCGCCGGAGCATCGATCGGAGGAGCATGGCTGCGCGCGTCGCGCGTCGAGAGAGTTGCCACACACCAGGTCCTCCGAGTCGAGCTCGCCACCAGGCGCGGACCCCCGGCCAGCGCCGGCGAGATCTCGGTCCACGCCCTCGAAGACCAGAACCTCCAAATAACCTCGATTTCTTAACTCCGCCAGTCCATCGGGTCGTCGTCCTCGTAGACGCAGGGCCCCTTCATGGGCAGGTCGAGCTGGCTCCGCGGGTCGCCGTACTTGGCGATCTCGTCGGGCGTGTTCGTGCGGAGGGGCCCGTCGCCGAGGCCGTGGCGGCGGCGGAGCTCCTTGAAGGCCGCGGCGTCGGCGTAGGGCAGGCCCGTGCGCGGGCAGCGGTACTTGGCCGGCTTGCCCGTGATCGCGCACGTCGTGTTCGGCACTTTCGGCCGCTCGAGGTCGCCCCTCATGAAGGGGGGCATCATGTCGACCGTCGCGAAGGTCACGGTCGTGAGGCCGGGCTTCGAGATGCGCCGCGGGTGCTTCTTGTGCTTGGGCTCGAGCCGGATCGCGTCGGCCGACTCGCGCGACAGCGCCTCGCGCTTGCGGATCTCGAGCCACCGCCGGTTCTGCGCCTCCGTGTCGATGGCCTCGACGAGCAGGTCCGACTGCTTCGGGATGACGTAGAGCTCCTTCTTGCGCTTCGCCGCGGGCGCCTCGCCGTCGCCGTCGGGGTTGGGCGTGCCGGGGCGCGGCGTCACGGGCCGCGACGGCGGCGGCTTCGGCGACTCCTTCTTCACCCGGGCTTTCGCCGTCGTTTTCGCCTTGCGTGGCATGGCTGCGGTATTGCGCGGGCAACGGTTTTGGGGCCGGTGGGCAGGGGTGGGTAGGCGACGAGAGAGCGCGGACGCCGGCTCAGCTCGCACAGACAAGGTAAACATTGATGCAGGGAAGTCAACATGCTTTTTATTGGGCGCGTAAGTTTCCAGAACTGCACGGTCGCGAGTCGGGACGGAAGTAGGACGCCATCCATGGGCAGCCTGCCGTGGGTCCGCGAGGGCGCCCCGCTCGAGTCGTACGACGACGCCCCGTGCTTCGCCCTCCGGAGCAGCCGCGTCGTCCTGCCCGGCCCCGCCGGCGGCTTCGAGGTCGCCGCGGCGACGGTCGTCGTGCGCGGCGGCGCCATCGTCGCCGTGCACCGGAGCGACGAGGCCCTGCCGGCGGATTGTGTCGTGCGCGACTGCGGCGACCTCGCCGTGCTGCCGGGGCTCGTCGACGCCGGCGCGCGCTTCGGCGAGTGCGGCGGCCTGCGCGCCGGGTCCGACTCGGATTGCTACGAGGGGTTCGCCGCGGGCACGCGCGCGGCGGCGGCCGGCGGCATCGCGACGACGCTGGACCTGCCGTCGCGCGACGCGGGCGAGGCCGAGGCCAACGACGTCGAGGCGCGCGCGGCCATCGCCGCCGCGGAGGGCGTCCACGTCGACGTCGCGTTGGCGTGCCGGCTCCCCGCTTCGGGCCGCTTCCTGCGGCCCGCGGCCAAGTGCGTGGCCCTCGAGGCCTGCCTGACGCCGCCGACGGGCGCGGCGCCGGCGGCGACGGCGAAGGGGCTCGAGGCGTGCGTCGCCGCGAACGGCACGGGCGGCCGGCCGCTGCTCCTGCGGTCGAACCTGATCCCGCCGGAGGACCTCGAGGCGGCGTCGCCCTACCGGCTCCTGCCGGCGTCGGACCGCCGCGAGGCCAAGAGCCCCCTGCTGCTGCTGCCCTTCTGCCAGGTCGACCCCAACGAGAGCGACGCCTACTCGGAGGCGTGGTCGCCGCGGCCGTCGAAGGGCTCCGACGTCGTCGAGCCCGAGACGCCGGCGACGCCCGGCGCCGGACACTTTCTGAGCGCGCGCCGAGAGATGGATGTTTCAGCCACGCTGAAACCCCCCCGCAGGCGACGCCGGGCCTCTCGTCGCTGAAGCTGCCGCCGCGGCTCAACGTGACGCTGGGGACGCCGGCGGCGACGTTGACGACGCGCATGCTGCCCAGCATGGGCATCGCGGCGGCCCTGGACCCGCCGCGCATCCCCGACCTCCTGCCGCCGCCCGTGGAGCCGGACAGCGCGCGCGCGCTCGTCGACCGGAGCTCGTTCTTCAAGGCGTCGCCGAGCGGCCTCGCGGGGCGCCGTGAGGAAATCAAATCTTCAACCCGACTTCAATGTGAGCGTATGCGACCGTTTCGACGCAAGCTTTTCTGCCGTGCTTCGAGAACTCGACGAGAGCGATCGATCCGTCCAAAAATCAGCCGAATCGACTTCGATGTGACCGAGCAAGAGAATTTCAAAGTTTGGTCGGGACATCCCAAACCAGTGGTTGATTTCCACACAGGCGGGGCGGTCGCTGAGCTCCATCTGGAACGTCGAGGAGTTCAGCGAGGACCTCGAGGTGTCGCCGACGAAGCCCACGAAGCGCCTCGACGACGCCGTGCCCGCGCCCGCGCCGCCGCCGCCGCCGCCGGCCGCGGACGAGGCGCCGTCGCTCTTCAAGTCCATCGGCGACGCGGCGGCGCGCTGGAGCCTCGCGGCGGCGCCCGAGCCGCCGCCGCCGCCCGAGGAGGAGGACGCCGAGGTCGCCTGGACCGTGGGCACGCCGCCGACGCGGTCCGCGTTCCTGTCCGGGCCCGCGGCCGCGCGCGTCTACGCGTCGCCGACGCGCGAGGAGTCGCACTTCCCGGACCGCGGCGACCCGAACGCGCCCTGGGTGCGGAGCCTGCTCCAGGCCGAGCTCGAGTCCTACCAGCTGTCGCCGGGCGCCGCGCCGCCGCAGCCGCCGCCGGAGGCGCGGAGCTTGGGAGAGGCCGCGTCCGCGCGGTCGGACCTCCAGTCGCCGTCGCTCCTCGACAAGCTGCTGGGCTACATGCCGACGCCGTCGGCCTTCGTCTGCGTGGGCCAGAAGCACGACGGCGACGGCCTGCGGCCCGGCGACCGCGCTAGGAGCCGGAGCGAGCCGTTCCCCCTCGACGACGCGCCGTCGCGGCCCCTCGAAACGTCGGCACCCGTGGCCATCCCCGGCGACGCGTCCGCGCCCCAGAAGGCGCGGCGGAAGAAGCCGCCGCCCCTCGACACGTCGCGGTCGCCGACGTCGCCCGCGCGGCTGCCCCGGGCCGCGTCGTCGGACTGCCTGGGCGGCCTCCGGTCGCCGTCGCCGCCGCGGCTCGACGCCTTCCGGTCGCCGAACCGGGGCGCGTCGGCGTCGTCGGCGCGCGCGACCTTCGACTTCCCGCCGCAGCGGCCCGGGTCCTGCGGCCCGGGCAGTGCCGAGCCGCAGAGCCGGAGCCTCGACCTGGACCGGCGCCACCTGCGGCGCACCTTCTCCGCGTCCGCGTCGGCGGGCGTCGCGCCGACCCTCAGCTTCAGCCCGCGCCTGAGCCGCGTCGCGTCGGAGAACCGCGCGCCGCGCGGGTCGCCGATCATCCCGACGTCGTCGCTCGGCAACCTCGTGGAGCTCCGCGACAGCTTCCAGAGCGAGAGCGCCGTCATCGACAAGCCCGCGGCGCGGCGGCCGTCGGCGAGCCCGGCGACGAGCCCGACGGCCGGCGCCGCGCCCCAGTCGCCGCCGCCCCCCGCGCGGCCCGGCCGCCGGCGCCCCGCGTCGATCAAGATCTTCAAGGAGAACGACCGCCACACGCGGCGCGCCATCCGCAAGGAGTACAGCCTCTACTGCGACGGCCAGCCGTCGTCGGCGGGCGCCGACGGCCTGGGCATGGTGCTCGACGCGGCCGCGGCGGCGACGGCCCGCGCGCGCGCCGCGGGCCGCGACGTCGCGCCGCTGAAACTCCACGTCGCCCACGTGAGCACGCAGCAGACGGCGACGCTCCTCGCGGAGGCCAGGGCCCTGGCGTCCAATACGACGCTCGGCGCGCTCGGCGGCTCCGCGACGGCCGTGCACCTCGTCGTCGCGGAGGAGAAGGTCCCGCAGAAGGCGACGGTCTACAAGGTCGACCCGCCCATCCGCCACGAGGCGCACCGCCTCGCGCTCTGGGGCGCGCTGCGGGACGGCACGCTGAGCGTCGTCACGTCGGGCCACGCGCCGCGGCCGCCGAGCTCCAAGATGCTCGCGACGGGCGATTTCGTCCGCGCGGCCGCGGGGACGCTCGCGGGCGCGAACCAGCTCCTGCTGCCGGCGCTGTGGGCCGCGGCGAAGCACGAGGGCTTCGGCCTCGGCGACGTCGCGCGCTGGCTCGCGGCGGAGCCCGCGCGGCTCCTGGGCCTGGACCGCAAGGGCGCCATCGCCGTCGGCAACGACGCGGATTTCGTCGTCTTCGCCGACGGCGCGCCGGGCGGCTACGACGTCCTCCACGGCGAGCGCGGGCCGCCGGAGCAGCTCCCGAACACGCGGCGCAAGCCCGTCACCTGCGTCTACCAGGGCGCAGACCTGCTCGGCGACGTCCGCGCGACGGTCGTCCGCGGCCGCCTCGCGTTCCTCGACGGCCGCTTCCGCGACACGGGGGTCGGGGCCGTCCTCGAGCAGTAGGGTGTTTCTCGTTTCCTTGCTTGCGAGGGCAGGACCTCGTGGGCGCCCTTGCTCGGTTCGCCGGCGTACGGAAGCAAGGGCGGCGGCGGCCGACGTCGCCGTTGAGCGGATCCGCGTCCATTGCTCATTGGGTTTGCTCGTCTGAGCGGCGGTGTTGCCCGAAGATGAGCGCGTTTCAGCCTGCCGCCGGTGCCAACACGTCGCGGCCCGCTGGGAGCAACTCACCTCGCCCGGGGGTCCGACCCCGCGGCGACGAGCGCGACGGCGACGGCGCCGGCGGCTCGACAACTGTCAGTTTGCACTGGACCCCGGCGCTGCTGGCATCTACGACGGAGAACGCGACGTTCACGGAGTCCGAGGAATCGGTCGTGGATCAACTGATGCGCGAGTTGGCGTTGTCCAATGATGTGGTCTCCCGGCGCCTCCGCGTTTTAGACCGCGCCGCGCGCTCTTCGCTCATCGGGGCGCGCGAGTCCGAGGACGACACGGACAAGGAGAACGACGTCCCGGGGACGACGAAGCGCTCGCGGTCGACGGCGACGCCGCCCGCGCCCGCGCCGCGCGCGGCCGCGCCGGAGCCCAGGCGGACGCAGCCGCGGCGCGGCGCGCGCGGCGCCGCGCCTCCGGCGGCGACGCCGCTGATCGCGCCGCTGGCCGTGCCGGGGCGGGCCCAGCCGGTGGCCGTGGGCGCGGCGCCGCCCGCGCGCGCGGGGGCCGCAGCCGCGCCGGCGCCGGCGCGCCGCCCGGCCGCGCGCGCGCCGCGGCGGCCGCGGCGGCTGGCGGAAGTACGGCTCGAGTGCGTCCTCGCGCTGGACGACGACGGCGGCGACGACTACCCTTCGCCGGACGAGCTACCGGCGTGGTTCGCTCGCGTCGTGGTATGGGTCGAAAGAAGGTGTGGGTTGACGGGCGAGACGAAGTTCATTTTGCGCCCTGACTCTCCCACCAAGGATTTTAAGGTGACGACGGGCACCTTCGTCGCCGTCTACGACCCCCGCGGCTGCGTGCTCGTCGAGCGCTTCGCGGCGGAGAAGGGGCGGACGCTCTCGATCCCGGTCCGCGTGGGCGACGTCGCCGAACGCGACCGCCTGCGGACGCTGTCGCTCGACGTCGCGGGCTCGCTCGAGACCTACGTGGCGCCCAACGACGGCGGCCGGACGGTTGTGCCGCGGTCGCTCGCGTTCCACCGCGAGGTGTCCCTGCACCACGTCGGCGGCTTGTTGGCGAGCGACCAGTCGACGTCATTCACGATGCATCGCAACGGACGCCGTTACAAATTCGACTGCGACCTTCGGCAACTGCGGTCTTCTGGTTCTGTTGCCATGGCAGCTCGACTGGCGGAGATGATCGGCGGCACGCGGGCGGTTCTGTTGACGCAGTGTGCGAGTGGCTTGGGGAAGGATTACGACGGTCGGGAATGCCAGCTCGTGATGGTGCGCATCCCGGCATCGCTCGAGTGGATCCGCCTCATAGCGCCCTACATGTGGCCCAAGCAGGAGTTCACGCTGATACTCCGTGCCGTCGACGAAGCGGGCCTGTTCCGCGGTAAAGGAGGATCTCAAAAAGAAGAAACCGACGCATGGGTCGGCGCGCGTGTCAAACTCGCGGAAGCCTGCGCGAAGGTGAAGACGGAGGCTGGGCAGCAGACCCATGCGGAGCTGCGCGCGTGGCGGCCGTACCTCGACGCGCGCGGCCGCATCGTCCGCGACGACCTCGCCAAGACGTTCGGCGGCTTCCTCGACGGCGACGCGAGTGCGCAAGCGGACCTGTCGTTCAGCATCGCGCAGAGCTACGAAGCCTTCCTCGACGTGATCAGCGAGGATTTGAACGCGACGTTCGGGACCACGTTTAGCGTCATCCGCGTGCCGCACACGAAGGTCTCCGTGAAGCAGCCCTTCAAAGCGCTGTCCTACAATCGCGCGGGCAACCGCGCCCTCGCGCGCGCGGTCCTGAGGACGGGCTTCCCCACCTGCAACGAGAAATTCCCCGCGCTCCGGGCCATCGCTAACTCGTCGCCGTGACGTACGTTCAAGTGCACAGCGACGTCGGCCGGTTCCAGTCGAAGCTCGCGCCGAAGGTGCCGGCGACGCTGGGCCACAGCTGTGGAACTGTGGAACTGGGCAGCTGTGGTTGCCGTCGCCCCATTTTCATCTCCCCCGTTGGACGCGATGGACATGCTGCAGGCCCCCAAGCGGGGCCTCTCGAACCTCGTCAGCGCCGTGGAGCGCGCGGAGGGCGACATCCGGGACCACGGCCACCCCGGCGACCGCTACGCGCGCCGCCAGGAGGACGACCTGCTCGGGCTGCGCGATACCGCGCCCTTTTGACGTTCGGGGCCGGGGAAGGGGCGCGCGGCACGGGGGGGGGGGGGGGCGCGCGCCCGCGCTCACGGCCCCCGCCGGCGCAGGCGGCCGCACGAGGAGCCCTACGACGCGCGGCCCTACGGCGTGCCGGACCTCGGGCGCCCGTCGAAGCGGCGCCGCGGCGACGAGGGCGAGCCCGACGCCGCGGACCGCGACGGCTTCGAGGGCGCCTTCCCGCCGCCGCCGCACCCGGGCGACTCGCAGCAGCAGTGGCCCTTCTTCGGGGCCAGCGCGCAGCAGGCCTACGCGCCGCCGCCGCCACCCGCCGGCGACCGCGCGGCGCCCGCGCCTCCCCTTTTCCGCGCGCTTCGCGACGCGCGCGACCGCCGCGCAGGCCCGCGGCCCGCCGCCCGCGCGCCGGACAAGGGGGCGACGATCTACGACCTGCCCCCGCGCGGGCCCTACGACCTCGACGGCGCCTACGACGAGCCGCCGCGCGGCCGCTACTACCCGCCGCCGGCGCCCGCGGCCGCGCCCTGGGTCGCGAGCGCGCCGCCGCCGGCCCTCGCCGGCGACGACCAGCAGGCGCCGCCGGCGCCGGGCGCGCGGCCCGACGACTACGCGGCCGCGCGCGACTACGAGCCGGCCGCGCGCGGCGGCGCCTACGGCTACGGCTACGAGCCCGGCGGCGCCTGGGGCGCGCCCGTCCAGCGCTACGCGCCGCCGGCGCCACCCTACGGCCGCGTGCCCCGAGACGCCCACGCGCTCGGCGACCGCGAGCGCCTCCCGCCGCCGCCGCGCGCCGCGGCGGCGGCGCCGCCGCGCGACCGCCGCGCGCCGCCGCCGCGCGCGCCGCCGCCGCCCCACCACGCCTACGGCGACCCCCACGGCCCGCCGCCGCCCCACGCCTACGACCGGCCGCCGCGCGCGCCGCCGCCGCACCGCGGCTACGGCGGCGACGGCCGCGCGCCGCCGCCCTACGGCGACCCGGCCTGGCAGCCCTACGCGCCGCCCGGGGGCTACGCGCCCCACTACGGCGGCTGGCAGGCCGTCGAGGGCGCGCCGCCGGGCTACGACGCGCGCGGCCCGCCGCCGCATCCCGCGGGCGCCTTCGTCTACGACCGGCAGCCCGGCCCGCCGCCGGGCGCCTACGGCCACCTCGCGCGCGCGGCGGCGCACCACCTCGCGCCCGCGGGCCACGGCGGCGCGCCGAATCCGGGCCGGAACCGCTTCATCGGCATCTACGGGCCCGAGGAGCGGCGCCAGCGCCTCATCCGATTCCACGAGAAGCGCAAGAAGCGCATCTGGGGCCGCGAGGGCAAGGTCTACCTCTGCCGCAAGGAGTTCGCCTCCGCGCGCGCGCGCGTCCACGGCCGCTTCGTCGGCGGCGGCGCCAAGGCGAAGGCGCCCGCGCCCGCCGCGGCCGCCGCCGCGGAGGCAGGCGCCGCGGAGGAAGGCGCCGCGGACGCGCCCGCCGCGGACGCGGGCGCCGCGCCCGTGGACGTCGCCGAGGCCGCGCCGGACGTCGCCGAGGCCGCGCCGGAGGCCGACGAGGCCGCGCCGGAGGCCGACGAGGCCGCCATGGCCGAGGACGACGAGCCCGCGGCGCCGACGGAGCGGTTCCCGGCGCCCGAGCCGCCGCTCGGCCCACCCGTGCCCCTCGTCTCCAACGACGAGGACTCGAGCGCGCCCTCCTCCACCGTCGCCTAGCCGGCGGCCGCCGCCTGGGCTCGCCGAGCTCAGCCCTTTTGTTCCCCCTCGCATGATCCCCGACGTCGCCCGCGGCCGAAATGCCGCCGCCGTACGCTCCGAATTCGCAGCACGCGCTGTCCGTCGTTGTTTCTATATGTACCCCCTCGTGATTTCCATGTTGGCGGCGAGGAGGCGTGCGCGCTCGCGCCCGACACGCAGTGGACTCACGTGTGGACTCGGGCGCCGGACCGGTCCGAGGCCTGGGCGTCGGGCGGCGCCGCCGGGGGTCGAGACGGGCGCGTCGCCGCAACCGGAGCATCTCCGACGCCATCTCGAGCCCGCTGCGCGCGAACCGCGCCACCGCCCATCGCGCCGCCGCATTCGATCGCTTCCGCGACCGCGCGCTGAACCATGTCCATCGTCAACCCGAAGCCGTTCCTCAACGACCTCACGGGGAAGAACGTGCTGGTCAAACTCAAGTGGGGCATGGAGTACGAGGGCAAGCTCCTCTCCGTCGACTCCTACATGAACGTGCAGGTGCGCTTCCGTCGCCCGCCCGCCCGCGCCGCCGCGCGCGCCCGACGCGCGCCGCCCGCGCAGCTCGGCGACACGAAGGAGTACATCGACGGCGAGATGGCGGGCGAGCTCGGCGCGCGGCCGGCGCCCGCCTTTTCGTCGCCCACGGATCATAAACGTCGCGCCCGTCGCAGGTGAGGTGCTCATCCGATGTAACAACGTCATGTACCTGAGGAAAGCGCCGGAGGCCGCCGCGCCGATGGAGACGTAGGCGGCTCGCCGCGCGCGGCCCACCTCGATCGACGGACCGCGACGGAAGTAAGGACATGTACGCCGAGCTTCCTAGTTTGTAGTGGGGGGCACGTTGGGGCCTTCGCTGATGACGCTTCGGCTAGCGGTGTGCACGCGTCCGCGGGGAGAGCGCGGGGGATGACCCCAGACAGGATGAGCGCAGTGCTTATGCGGGCCGCGACTGAGCCATGCTTCAGCCTCGGCCGTCCCAAATGCCAGCATTGGCAGATGGGTCTGGACAGCGCGCTGCCGAGGCTCTCACAACACTGCAACAAAGCATCAATGGTGTGTGATGAACGTTTAGGCAGACGATGGGGCAGCAGCCGTGACCATGGCTGCGCCGCAGCGGGTCCTCAAGACCGGCTCCCGCGGCCGCGCGCCCGCGCGCGGCCAGCCGCGGCCGCAGTGGCATCCGCCTGGCGCGTCGCACCGCGAGGAGTGGCACGCGGAGTGGAACGGCGCCGGCAGCCGCCAGGGAAGCGAGGACGGGTCGCCGCCGCCGGCGTCGCAGGCGTCGCGGAGCCGGGCGCGGCGCCGCGGTCCGCCGGCGGCCGGCGCGGCGAAGAAGAGCCGGTCGCCGGCGCCCGCGCCGCGCGCGCCGCGCCCGGCCGGCCGCCGCGCCGTCCGCAGCGCGTCGCCGCCGCCGCCGCCGCCGTCGGCCGCGGCCGCGCGGCGGCGGCCGTCGGCCGTCGGCTTCGACGCGGCGACGCGCCTCGCGACGGCGCGGGCGCGCGCGGCCGACGGCGCGACCGGCGGCGCCGCCGGGGCCGCGGCGCCCGCGGAGGTCCGCGCGCGGGCGCCGGAGGAGGCCGGCGCCGCGCCGGAACCGGACGGCGCGACGTGCCCGCGGTGCTGGCGACGGCGGCCCTGCGCCTGCGACGACTTCGGCGCCGAGGGCAACGCCTTCGCCGCGCCCGGCGTCGTCGCCTGGACGCCCGACGGCTTCGCGCGGTCGGCCGCGTCGACGCCTTTTAAGTCGCGGCTCATCGAGGAGGAGCCGCCGCTGTCGGCCCTCGAGTCCCTGGCGCTGGACGACGACGGCGGCCCCGCGCCGGCGCCGGCGCCGCCGGCGGACGACTTCTGG